GGTGCAACAGGCTGGCATTGTCAAAAGAAATTTTACTAAACACTAAAAGAAAACACAAAGGAAAAAGGTGTAGAAATCATTAACTGAATTTCTAAACTTCAGAATCATTTTCTGACACTAAAAATCACAGTGGAAGCAGCAGGGGCTCCCTTGGCCCACATTCTGTTGTCCAGAGATAACCGCCCGGCAGAAAATGTGTCACGTTTTATTTCTGCATCACCCTTGCCAAGTACCCACAAATACTGCCCCATTCAAACACGCATGCCCAAAACAGACCTTTTCTTCTAAAACACCCTGTAGCCCTTGCCTGGGGTCCTCTTCCCAATTTGGGGCTGGGAAGTCAGGTGGAGGCCCGGGAAGCCCCAGGAATGCTGGAGCTATTCCTAGCTTCGACTCTGTGCCCCACAGGCTGCCTGCCACCCCTCATGCACCCTGCAGTGACAAGCAAGCCCCTCCCACCCAGGAAAGTTGTCAGGGGCCAGTAGTGTGAATCGTTGGGACAGAAAGGGTCATGGAGGCCTCGGGTACAGGAGTGAGCAGGGTTTTCACACCAAGCTGTCAGTCTGCGAATGCTTTGGCGGGACTGACGTTCAGTGTCCAGGGCCCGTGTTTCTCTTGGCTTCCCGCAGGTCCTGGTGCGGTTTCTGTTTTCCGTGAGCAAAGGGTACCGGAGAATCACCTACCACAACTGGCGCCATGGTTTCAATGTGGCCCAGACCATGTTCACTCTACTCATGGTGCGTGTACCGTCAGGGGCCAGACATGCCTCCCTGTCATCCCTCCCATCTGGCCAGGGTCCTAAGGCCTCTCCTGGTTCCATGGGCCGTGCCCCAGGTGCTTGGAGGTGGGGATTCCTCTGCGTGGGGGGTGGAGGCCTTCAAGGGCAGAGGGGAGAGGAAGTGGAAGCCCCTCCCACCGGGGTGCACCCCCGGCCCCGGAAATAGGTACAGAACACCAAGTCTGGGGAGGGCCCAGCTCCCCCCCCATCCTGCTTGCTCCCCCCCCCCACCCCGCCGCCCCCGGCCCAGGGAAGGGAGGGTGGGCGAGGGGGCTGACAGAGCTGAGCTGCAGAACTGTAGGTGCGTGTCTCCTCAGACCGGCAAACTCAAGAGCTACTACACAGACCTGGAGGCCTTCGCCATGGTGACCGCTGGCCTGTGCCATGACATCGACCACCGTGGCACCAACAACCTGTACCAGATGAAGTAGGTGGCTCACGTGGGCGCCCTGGGGGCTAAGCAGGAGAATCTGTCACGGGGTCCCACGGGAGGCGCCTGCCTACAGCTGGCTGAGGGGCAGGGAGGGGAAGGACAGGAAGCCTAGAAGCCGCAACCAGCCACTCTGGGGGCTTTTGACCAAAGTTTCATTTTAGTAAAACCTCTGTAACAGATCCCAGAATCCCTTAGCCAAGCTCCATGGCTCCTCGATTTTGGAACGGCATCACCTGGAGTTCGGGAAGTTCCTGCTCTCAGAGGAGGTTCGTGTCCAGTTAGTTACTCACTCAGGGCGTTTCTCCACCCACTGACCGACTGACTGTCGCCTGCACCCCTGGCCCCTCCCACCTCGGTATCCCGCGGGGGCGGGGGGGGGGGCTGGAGGAGGGTCATTGGTGAAGCACCCACCGCAGGGTGGGGTGAGCTCAGCCCTCAGGCCAAGGTGGGGAGGGCCACGGCTAGGGGTGAGCGAGCCAGGCCACCGGGGTCTGGTGCCCACGACCCAGGGGGAGGAGCAGGCCAGCAACTTGCGAGGGACAGACGGACGGATCCTGGGAGGGGGAGGGGACAGGCGGACCGCTTCTACCACCTGAGCCCCTTCCCGCAGACCCTGAACATCTACCAGAACCTGAACCGGCGGCAGCACGAGCACGTGATCCACCTAATGGACATCGCCATCATCGCCACGGACCTGGCGCTCTACTTCAAGTGCGTGCCGCCCTCCCTGCGGGGAAGCGTCGGTCAGGGGCTCTGGGAAGACCCAAGGGACCCCTAGGAGGTGGTCCTGGCTCAGGGGTGGGGTGAGGGGCTGGGGGTCGATTCTCTCTCTCTTTGTTCTTGGGGTTCAGGAAGAGGACGATGTTCCAGAAGATTGTGGATGAGTCTAAGAACTATGAGGACAGGAAGAGCTGGGTGGAGTACCTGTCCCTGGAGACTACTCGGAAGGAGATAGTCATGTGAGCAGCGGGGGAGACAGGGGCCATCTCTGCCCTGCTTAATCCTCAAACCTCCCGGGACAAAG